ATATTATTTCATAATGTAATATTAAAAATAAATATAAAAATTACTTTTTTTTGAAACATTGGTGGCAGCTTTGATGGCGACAACTTTGGGGATAACAGTAACTTTTTTGCAGTAACATTGGTGATGGTAGTAGAGGTAGAGGCAGCAGCAACTTTGGAGGCAACAACAGCAACTTTGGGGGTAGTGGTAACTTTGGAGGCAGCAGCAACTCTATTTGCAGCAACTTTGGGAGTAGCGGCAACTTTATTTACAGCAACTTTAGGGGTAACAGCAATAGTAGCAACATTGGTGGTAGTGATGATGTCAGCAACAACATTGGTGATGGTAGTGTTGTTGTCATCTTTTATAATAATTATAAAACAAATAAAAAAAGAAAAGAAATAATGATAAATTAAATTCAAATATTTTGTCTTTTATTATTTTTTAAAAAAAACCAATAAAATTACCCAAATTTATCATAAATTAAATGAAAATGTGGTAGTGGTAATGGTGGAGCAGGAGGAGGAAAAACATTATCTAAAAATAATTAAATAAAATAATAATAAAGATCAATTGATTAATAAATTCTGTAACCCAAATGATCTTCAAGAAATTGAAAATGTGACACAGTAAAGTGATCTGTAAATGATCGTTATGTGAATTGATCTGCAAGAATCAATGACACAATAGTCGGCAAAAGATGATCTGCAAAATTAACCAAATCGGTTAATGAAAAAATGAAGTAATGGATCATTAGCCCATGACGACACGCGTAATCTTCTAAACTAGAAACTCCAAATAGGAACTTCAAGGAGAAACTAGTTATGTAATTTGATAGGCAAATATATGTCCCGATATATTAATATAATTCCTTGCTAAAAAAATTTAGCTAAAAAAAAAATTTTTACTAAATCCGCGGAAACGTAGAAAGTTTGATAAACGTCGACCTATTGCAAGGATTTTTTTTTTTTGACTTTTAAACTGATAAAAATAGCAAATTTCACTGTTGAATTATTGGTTCATAAAATATTACAAATCCGCTGTAAAATGTACATCAATCCGAGATTTATCACGTTGAATAATACCATTTATGAGTTGGTTTTGTGGTAATACCAATTCTACGCGTGTTCAATCAACATAAATGGATTTGAGATTATTTTCTTATATTTCAATAATTTCTCTCGTCTTTACACAATTCTTTATCATTAAAATTTGAGATACACAATATGGTATGTAAAAATACTATTTACTATTTTACTTTTTTGAATAAACGCGTATTTTATAAGCTTTTACGTTAAAAGAGTTGCTTTTAAACACGTTATTAGGTTGAGAGAAAACGACCAAGAGAACCTAGCACAGAAAGACCTTCTCAAAACCCTTATTCTCCCGGTTCATTATTGAATTTAACAAGTCCACCACCTCCATCAGATACCGATGGCGACGTAGAAGTGGAAGGAAATCTTATTGAAGATGATATATCAGATGTATCAGAGGAAGATGGAGAGAATTTGTATCCCTCTGACTTTGAAAGGTATTTATAATAACGAGAATGAACTATAAAATGATATTTGTTAAAATTAACGTATGAGTTTTTTATTATTGTAATTTAGGGATTATGAAGAACGTCCTGAGTTAGACCGTTATGATTCAGATAATATTGATGATGAAGCTCATGAAGATTTAGATATTACTTCCCGGCGAAATTTAGAAATGATGATGGATGATCGCGACGCGCGTGAAGGACGCACAGCAGCCGATTATCTTTTAGATAGTACGAATTATATTTTAGAACTTAATTTAATGATATGATAAATTTATTTATTGTTATATCATATTTTTATACAGCAAATAACTATTTACAAGAGAAAATCAAGCGTCGGCGTCGGAAAGTTCCTGAAATAATTCAATCACAAGGAACTGCACCACAACTTGGCGATTATGATGAAGAAAGTGACGATGATGATTATGAGGTATATTCTTTTATGTGACTTCATATTAATTTGTCGAACATCACATCAATTTCATATTATATAAATGTCTTAGGGTATGAATAATGAAGAATTAGCAGATGTAAAGGCTTCTTCTATAGGTGAATGGATTAAAAATCCTGCTGTACAAAAAGGAATCGTGCGTCAGTTCAGTAATTTCTTACGCAAGTATACAAAAGATGGAAAATCTGTATATTGGCCTTTAATTGAAGAACTTACAAAAGGTAACGATTTATTTATTTTTTAAATCTAATTTTTAGGATTTTAAAATAGAGACTGATATCTAAAAAAATTTTTAGATCAATTGCAGAGCTTGGAAGTCAGTTACAAGCATTTAGAATCCGATAAACCAATTTTAGCGAGATTTCTTAAGAGATCACCTGTGGAAATGCTACAAATTTTTGATGAAGTGGCAACTGATGTTATATTTAAAAAACATCCGCATTATGAGGAATTAAATAAAGAGATGCATGTTCGGATAACTGAGTATCCTATATTAAACACGCTTAGAGACCTCAGGTAATAGATTATCTATAAGTAAATAGATTATTAACGTGAATTTAATCACGAGATATTTATAAATTATTTATTAGGCATACTCACCTCAATACTTTCGTACGAGTTTCGGGTGTTGTAACAAGGCGAACCGGCGTATTTCCTCAATTGAAATTTGTGAAATATAATTGTTTAAAGTGCGGTGGAGTTCTTGGACCTTACACTCAAGATCTTCAGTCCGAGATAAAATTAAATCACTGCAGTTATTGTCAGTCAAAAGGACCTTTCAGTTTGAATACAGAACAGGTGAGATAATGTAAAACCAGGAAACAATCTCTCTCGGTTTTGATTTCTTTAATAATTTAATAATTAAATTGGCCTCATCAGACAATGTATAGCGATTATCAAAAAGTCACTATGCAAGAAACCCCTGGTACAATCCCCGCTGGAAGGTTGCCTCGACATCGGGAGGTTATTTTGCTTTGTGATCTTATAGATTCCGTGAAGCCTGGTGACGAAATTGTATGCATCGTGTAAATTTAATGAATGTATTTTGAAATTATATTACTTATATAAATCTTTTATTGTTTCCAGGAAGTCACCGGTGTATATCGTAATAATTTTGATTTTTCTTTAAATATAAAAAATGGATTTCCGGTATTTGCTACTATCATTGAGGCAAACTATATTGTTAAAAGGGAGGACCTATTCTCAACTTATAGGCTGACGGATGAAGATAGGGAACAATTGAAAAACCTATCAAAAGATCCGAAAATTGCCAATAAGGTTAATGACATTTTTACAATAAATTAAATTTTTTTTTTTAAAAAAATAAAAATATTGATTATATAATATATTAATAATTCTTAGATATATCAAAGTATTGCTCCCTCTATCTATGGTCATGAAGATATTAAAAGGGCCTTAGCTTTATCATTATTCGGTGGAGTAGCTAAAAATATTCAAGATAAACATCGATTGCGAGGGGATATTAATATACTAATGCTTGGAGATCCTGGCACAGCAAAATCTCAATTCTTGAAGTATGTCGAAAAAACTGCACATCGTGCTGTTTATACGTCTGGTCGTGGTTCTTCATCTGTTGGTCTCACTGCATCAGTGAAAAAAGATACCATAACGAGAGAATGGACTTTAGAAGGTGGCGCATTCGTGCTTGCTGATAATGGTATATGTTTAATCGACGAATTTGATAAGATGGAAGATAAGGACCGGTAGGTGTTCATTAATAAATATTTTCAAATTAAATTATCATTCTAACGCTTATTATCTAAAATAATTTTAGAGTAAGTATTCATGAGGCTATGGAACAACAAACTATATCAATTTCAAAAGCAGGAATCAATTCTACGCTCAACGCTCGATGTGCTGTAATCGCTGCTGCAAATCCTATCGGAGGTCGATATAATACATCCAAACCGTTTTCAGATAATGTCGAATTAACAGAACCTATCCTTTCGCGTTTTGATGTCCTTTGCGTTGTCAAAGATACAGTTGATCCAACAATAGATGAATTCCTTGCAGAATTTGTGGTAGGGAGTCATGTCAGAAGTCATCCAGATCACACAATTGTTCCATCCGCTCAACAAGATAAATCAGTAAGTTTATCATTATATTTCTTTATCTCATGACGTTTACTAATATTTTTATATAATAATAAATATATTTATATTTTTTCGTAACAGACAATTCCACAAGACCTTTTGAGAAAGTATATTATTTATGCGAAGCAGATAAAACCCCAATTGAGTAATCTTAATGAAAACTTGATTTCGGACCTTTATTCAAAATTGAGACGAGAGGTAAATTTTTATTTTATAAAATATTAATTTTTTCATTCAGAATTAACAAAATTGATTCTATAACTAGGCGCAGAATGGCGGTATCCCAATAACGGTTCGTTATTTAGAGTCTATGTTGCGATTGGCTGAAGCTCACGCCAGGTAATTGAAGATTCAAGTTTACACTTTATTCTTTGGTTAAATTAATATTTCAATTTATATATTTATTTTCCTCATTACAGAATACATCTTCGTTCTCATACATCAAAAATTGATATTGAAGTTGCTATTGATGTGGTTTTACAAAGCTTTTTTGATTCACAGAAATTCGCAATTTCAAATAGACTTAGAAGGGTAATAAAAAATTCGGTTCACGTGATTAAAGTAGTTATATCAAAAAAAAAAAAATAATAACACTTATTTGTTTCTGTCATAATAGCAATTCGCGCAATATATCAACAAATCCAAGGAACAATCCGAATTACTTACAGATATACTCAATGACATGGTTAAAGAAAAAGCAAGACTCAAAACAGCTTCAAGTGGTCAATCTTGGATTGGCAGTGTAATAATAAACGTATCTGAATTCATGGAACAGGTTAGTTATGAGTTCTCAAATGTGAACATTTTTATGTTTAGATAACTTTAAAGGTAACTTTTGTCATTAAATATATATACTCTCTTATTTAGGCAAGGAAATTCAATATTCATCACGAAGTTGACAATTTCTTGAGATCTGATGAATTTTCAGTTCTATATGATTGGGATCAAAGTAAAGATTTAATCATCAAATCATTCACTTAAACAATAAAAAAGTGTGACATGAGTACTCCATTCAATACATTAACCATAACTTTCAAAATATATAAAATAAAGTATAACATTACAAATATGTTATAAAATTTATTTGCTTGTTTAAAAAATTACTTTCATTTCATTCGTAATAGTTATTCGGTACCTAATGCCGGGTATTTGAAATAATGGTGAAATTTTGCTGAGCTCCGTTCAGCAAAGTTCAATGATCATATTGCTATTGAAGATACCGGTAATGCTGGGTAACTGTTTTATTGGGCAGATTGTATATAAATGCTTAGTAACGAGTTATATCTTTAAATAGTGAATGCCCGATAATCAACAATATAAATAAAGAAATAATAATGATCATAAATCATAAATAATATTTTTACCATAGTAATCGCATTAAATTTAGATTGAAAAAATTTTTTTATTAATTGTTATAAAGAAACCAAACAAATAACACAGAAAAAGCTATCACGTGATTTTATATTAATAAAATAACACAAATTCTAATATATATATATATATATAAAATATATTTAATATATAATATAATGAATGTTCTCAAATAAATTGTATGAAAAAATATATATATGCAAGTTATTAAGAAATTTAATATTAAACAATAACATTAAAAAATTAATAAAATCATTTAATAACATTAAGAAAAACTAAGTTATACTACTAATACGCACTCCTCTCTCTAAACGAAATACATCATATTCTCAATTTCAGTTTTGATTCTCTCGCACGTGGCATTTGTAACGTCACTGCTACGACCACCACCACCACCACGACCACCTGAGCTACCGGATCTTCCACTACTAGCACCGTCCCACATAACGAAATGCTTGGCTTGATTTGCGATGTGATGGGCATAATGAACGGGAGTCACGTGAGATATGGTGAGATTACATCTAGAAATCAAATGCAACTGTTTAGTATTGTTACTTCATCTTTAATACATTCATAAAACTTTTAAATGTTATATACCTGACAGATAAATGACATAATTTGTAGGTTAAAGTCTGTATAGCGTCAACTGGAAATTTGGCTTCATTTAACAATACATGATAATGCGTTGGCCGAGCTGTTCCTAGAGGACTCGCGTGAGACTGCAAATCTAATAAGATAAATATCCGTTCCCAACGAGAATTGTATCAATTAGTCACGATATACATGATAGCAAATTGAACGTAGAAATCATGTTGCTTACAAAAGTCAAACTCCTGAGGTACCACGATTTCAGTATCCACAATAGTTCCAGGTTGGCAATTACCGCTTCTATCGGAGTCTTCTTTTTTAACAGGCATAAATCTATAATAAAATGAATAAGATTTAAAATAAATATGAATAAATCTCTGCAAAGGGTAAGTAATTATACATCTACTTACCGTGCGTGATGACGTTTTTGCACAATAATAAATGTTAATTGTGGTTTCGTGTCTTTTTCACCGTAAATTCGATCGAAGGCGCGTTTTAGTGCCTTAACTTCCTCATGGAGAACGTGTTCAAATTGACCTTCAGCGACACCGTCACGATAGAACACAATTTGGAAAGGCAGTACATCGTTTCTTCGTTGGAATTGTTTTATCAAGTCTGTCACCATCCCTTCGAGATTCTCGATGGTTTCATTTCTTATTTTTCGATTCATGCTATATCGGCCTACGTATCTAGTAACAGATTTATCCATTGAAGCGCAAACTGCGGCAACACTTGGCCGTCCTTTTTCTTCACGACCAGGATGGAAAACATCAGCACCAAAAACCATATACTAAATATAATTATAAAATGATTTCCAAAAATAGGATTAGATGGTAATAATAATAATAATAATAATTAAAAAGGTTTTTTTTAAATACCGATTTATTTGTTCCAAAGTTGAGTTCTCTTTCGGCCAAAACACAGTTTTTACCACCCAATTTTCCGTTAACTTTCAGAGAAATATTACCGCAGATTTGTCTCCAACGATTTGGATTCGGACCTTTCATGTTGTTGGCAACAATACATTGCGAAACCACGCCAAGTATTGTACCACAAATACGTTTAATTTGGGCGTGAATGCCTGATGCTCCCAAAACTTTTTTCTGAATTATACAAACAATAAGCTGAGGTGGTCTATCTTTTTTTATCCGAGCTTTTTGGTAAGCGAGCGCTAATGACTAGATTATAAGATATCAAATATTGAATAAGATTTATTAATAACTTTCGAATGATCAACCGTTCAGCTTGGAGGGTAATTTACTTTTTCATAATCGCCATGTGGACTGCCATATTCGATATAAGGATCTGTTGAGACATTCTACATAAAAAGATCAACAAGTCCTTTATTTAGTATAAATCATTTTGTCAAGAATTTATAATAATGATTTCTTTTGATATACTTACTAAGCCTTTTTCGTGCAAAGAATTACGTAGTTGTTTCATTGCATTTCTTACTACTTCGGGAGGGAAATAACTTCTGTTTTCAAACACCATTACAGACCAATTATAGATATCAGGGCACTATGAATAGAGTTTCAAATATTTTGTTAATTGATAAATAATAATTTATCAACACTGAAATGATACGATGATATAAATTTTTACGTCAGTAAATCTTCTCAAATCCCATCGTCCCCCTTGTGGGTTAATATTCGCACCATTAGACGTTAATTTTGGTGGTGGGAGAACGCGAGCTAAATCAACAAGTGAAAGTTGATAAATGATCGTCACATTTTTTTTTAAAAAAAAGAAAAGATTACATATATCTCCCCATCGTGAATTAAATAAATTTACCTTTAAGTTTGATAAATTCGGGATCTGTAACCAAATCGATCGAGCGCAAGTTTTCGTCGTCGTTGTGTTTAAAGATTCTTTTAATAGCTCCCTCGATACGATCAAATCTATCCCATGGTTTAACGGCGGTTCTTTGGACCATTTCTCTTCGAGCATCATCAGGCATTTGTTTATCTTCAAATTTTTGTCCTAAAATGCAATCTTTGATCAGTAGAATTCTTTATTTAAAGCAACGCAAATCTAACCACACATAAATACATACCGGGAACGATTTCACAAACTTCAATAGGAAAATATGATTTTGATTTGTCTTGTGGTTTAACTACGACAATACACGGTAACCGCGGAAATTGCAAGGATTGTCCATAATTTTCTTTAAAATATTTTGCAACCGTGGTCTCTTTATTGCCTTGCCTGAATTTAGCTAGATCAGCTGGTTGATGATCAACATAAGAAACCTTATATTTTGGTTTGCGATTATCTGATCTGTGAGTCACAAACATCATGACGCCTTTAAGATACCAATTAAGAACATCAATTTCTTTTCGATCAAGTCCTCGACGTAAATCATCCCTTGATTTTTCATGTCTGTCGCGAGGATGTTTAACGATTTTGGGTATAATATCAATTATAGGTGCCGCTGGATAAAAAGTGGTAGCACATATATCCACATTTATTACAAGTCTGCCTATGAAAAATTTAGAAACATAATATATAAAGTTAATTTGTTACATGTAATTTCAAATTATCATAATTTATAAACCTACCCCATCCAGGTCTTATTGACTGATAGAATCCTTGCTTCATTTCAATGCCTCCTGGCAAATAAATAGGTCTGTTATCGCGAGAAGGTGGTGGAAATATGGCCTTTTTTCCCACAGATAAGTACTCTGATCGAACTTTATTATTTGCGAAGGCATTCAAAACGGTAAGATTACTTTGGATACTACCATCCCAAGGAGTTTTTGAATCATCTTTAATATAATCTCCAATGGGAGTTAGGACGATTGTTCCTTGATGTTTGATTTCGACTTTAAAAACTTTTTCACGTCCTGAACCATCAGCTTCCACGGGAACTGTAATCTATAATTTTAAAAATCATTAATATGTTAATAAGAATTAATTAAATTTATGAAGAAATTATTTAAATACAAATCTTTCATCAATTTTACATCATGACTCCTTGTTTGTTTACTGTGGCCTATTGCAAGTTCAGTTGGTGAATATACTTGACCACCGTCAAAAGTTGGAAAAGTATTTGGCCCAAATGCTTTGGTCACTTTCATTTGTTTAAATACCCTGTCCGAATCTTTTCTACCCGCTTTTTTTTTCTTTTGGTCAACGATTTCAAAAGAATAGTAATGCACTTCGGGATAATTAAACTATTAAGTAATTTCAAATTTAATAATAATAAAATAAGTTTGAGTGTTATCTAATGAATAAATATATATATCGTGAAATTTTTTACCTTTGTTACGCCTATGAAGTTGGCCTTTATCATGACCTCTTTACCTAAGGTACCAGGCTTATCGGGTCGCGTAGCGCGGTCCACGATAAAGTCTTTTTCCTCTGATGCTGTTGACATTATTGCTATGCTTTGTCTTTTAATATATATATATACTGGTGTGTAGATTTTTTTTTTTTTGAATGAAATATGGAAGCCTTGCTTAATATAATATATACCCAGCTCTTTAAATGATGCTTTAAGTAATACCAACCTTATTAATAATTATACGTTTTTAATGTCACGGTAGGAGTGTTTAACCTGAGGCTTTGAAAAACTCGAAATAAAAACCAAATTCTTTCGGAAAAACTTCGTTAGTTAGCTGTGCTGTAACAAAATTATAAAAGGAAATCAAGTTGATCAAATCAATTCCCATATTATTTATATAAAAATCATTGGGTAGATATATTTGATATAATATATAAATACGGTATATTATTTTTTTTTAATAATCATCATGTTTCTAATTCTATTTGACGCATTTTTGCAAACAAAAAAAAAATTCATAAATAAATTTATTCCAAATAAAGTACTAAGATGTATTAGACAAATTTCATTGCTTATTGAATTCTGCTTTGCATTATATTAATGAAAGGGGGTTATAGAGGGGTTCTTTCATTTAATATTTAATTGTGGATATATTTGGAAATCTCTATTTAATTTATGTTTTAATATTACTACTGCGGTTAATAAACTTCGGTCTGGTTTTTGAAATTCGTTAATCTTAATCTTCATTTTGGTTATCACCCATTCATAATGGAAGTGATTTTCGGATTCATGTTTAATAAAAAAGGAACCATTATACTTTTTTTGTTTATTGTCCCTTATTTTATCATTCTTTGCCTTTCGATGGAAATCTTTTTCATCATTCAAAATTACTAAATTAACTAGATGTCAATCTCGTTCTAAAATTTGTATGAATTTTTAAAAAAATTAAACATTAATTATTAACAAATAAATCTAACAAATAAATTCGTGCAAATATAGTAAGGGAAATATTCGTTTATCAATTTCATTTAGGATGTTACTTATTTTAGTTATTTACAAACCGGAAAATTTTCTTTCTTATTCAAACACATATGGTAAAACAAAACAAATAAAGATGTCTTTCTTTATAGATCAATGATGATCGGTTTTTTATTTGTATGATGACGACATTGTATTACGATTACGTAGTATTAGCCAATTTTTATTTATATCAACATTACAAAGAAATTTAGAATGTCTTTTTAAATTAAAAAAAATTGGTTTTGTGCTAACCAACTTTTGCTTTACCTTTACCCTTTTTGTCATTCTTTTTACCATCATTTTCATTATACTTGATCGTTACACTATCACCAATAATATTACTATTGGAATTCGAATTTTGCTCATCATTTCCTTCAAATTTTTTCGCTTCTTCTTGAGTGAATCTCATTTGAACCATCTTATAATGTTCCAATTCTTTTTCGGAAACCGAAGGTATTAATTCAATTAATGCTCTTTCAAAATCATTTTGATTAACTTCAACGAGAGTGTCTTCGGGTATAGCAAGATGATTAAGATAATATTGTGAATTTATTGGTATTGCAATATTTGTTGAAGGATTGGCATTTATTTTAACTTATTGTAAATAAAAATATAATTATTAAAAACTTTTTAATCATGAGAAACGACAAAAAACCAAATTGATCAATAACTTACCAACTTTGGTTTCAATAGCCTCGGCTGTTCTTGACATTGCTTTTAACATCGCATCTGAGCAAAGTGCATAAAAATCTGCACCTGTATAATTGAATGGGCATTTTTCTGCAACTGCGTGAAGGTCCAATGAAGGATGTAAACGAAACCTAGGGGAGACAATTTTGTTACAAAAAATTATATCATATTACATAATAAAAATGAACACGTACTTTCTTGTTAATGCTTGAATTATTTTAAGTTGAGTTTCATGATCTTGACTCACTCCAAGATAAAGAAGCTTATCAAATCTGATGCAAAAAAAAATATTATTAAAACAACCAAACAAATCACCGGAATACATGTCATAAATATGATAACATACCGTCCCGGCCTTAGTAATGCCGGATCTAATAAATCCGGACGATTGGTCGCACCAATTACAAACACATCTGCAGCTCCTCCTCCTTGACCCATTCCATCCAATTCAGCTAATAGTTGACTAACAATCCTATCCATTACTCCTCCAGAATCACCCTGTTCTCCTCTTTTAGGTGCAACCGAATCCAACTCATCAAAGAATATAACACATGGTTTGGCATCTCGGGCACGTTGAAAAACTCGTCGTACGTTAGCTTCAGACTCACCAACATACATATTAAGTAATTCTGGCCCTTTAACTGAAAAAAAGTTTAAAGAACATGAAGTTGCCACTGCTTTAGCAAGAAGCGTTTTTCCCGTACCGGGTGGCCCATACAGTAAAATTCCTGATCTCTTTTTCATTCCAGTTGCAAACAACTCTGGATGTTCTAAAGGTAATTGAATTGTATCTAAAATATCATGCTTTACAGCTGCAAGACCTCCAACATCATCCCATGTAACATTAGGAATTTTTGGTGCTCCTATACTATCAGAGTATGATGCTCTCGCTTTGTTAAGTGCATTCTCAAAATCTGTAGCAGTTAATGCAATTCCAGCCTGAACAATGTCTAAATCTTTTATTATAGGTTGATTTGTCTTTTTTAAAGAAATTTCAACCCGTTCAAGTGATGCCAATCCGGCTCTTGCAACCAAATCATCCAAATCTTTCGCGACGAGTGCAGCGGTCTGTGTTGCCAATAGTGATAATGAAACATCTGGAGCCAAAGGTGTATCAGACGTTAATTGTTCTAATATGGCTAATCTTGCAGCTTCAGATGGTGATTCAAAAGCAATTTCATGTCTAAAACATCCTATTATGCTTGCAGGAACTTCTTCAATATCTCCTGTTGTACCTACAACTAACACAGGATATCCAATATTTTGAAAATTTATTAAAAGTTGCTTGAAACAATCTTGCAAGATAGTTGAAATGGTTGGATCTTGACCAGTCTCAAGAACAGCACTTTTTCTCACCAATGCATCAATATGTCGTAATAAAAATACACACGGGGAACTTGTTACTGCCTTATCCAATCTCATACGAAGTGATGTTTCCGTTTTTGCATCAGTTTCTCCCGCAAAATCAAAACAATTCACTTCGAAAACATGCACACCAACTGAATCTGCTACCCAATCAACCGCTGTTTTCTTTCCACATCCTCGAGGACCATGTAAAAGGACTGTACAACTAAGGTTAAGTGTGGCAGCATTTGGATGAAGACAAGATGAAATGAGATCATAAAGTTTAGCATAAGGTGTTCCGGGAGATGTTAATATTGAATTTGAATTGGAAAAATTTGAAGAAATCCCAAAATATTGTTTTACTATAGGGACTTTTGAATGCACCATCCCAATTTGTTCAATCCTAGTTAATTTGGTATCCACTAATCTACCAGATCCATATAACATCAATTTTTTTTTGTTTTTAGGTTTCAACTCGGAAATTTTGAAATGAACCACCGTTGTTGGTTTTAGTGGAGAGGTAGCAATTTTAATGTCATCTAATGTTTCAATATCACCCTCAACTTTTTGTGGTCTTAATCTGGCAGCCTCCTCTATATTGTTATATTCGGTAGGTTATTAAAATATCAATAAACGGATATTATTATTATTATAATAATAATTGGATAATTGAAAGACATTTACCATCTATCGGAATAGAGAAAATATCTCCTTCACAAACGATCCTATCAGCCTCTTCAAACCATTTTTCTAAACCACATATGCTGGCATTATAAATAAATCTATCATTACAATTTGGAAAAGCTATTCTAGCAACAACTAAATATTTAGCTACGGGAGGTGGAGATTGCATTCTGATAGCTGGTTGAATGAATAACTGCTCGGAAGTTAAATTCTTAGTGTTAGAAAAACCAAGGTTGAAATGAAGTGATGGGGAAATATAAGCAGGAGGATATGATGATCTAAATGAAAATTTTCAAGGTAAATTACTAAAAAAATTCAGAAAATTACTTCACAACATTTTACTATAAAGTGATAATAAATACTCTTTGAATGATGATGAAATATCTATAGCATAAATTTTGCATAACCTAGTTTTCTCATTAATGGGCCCTGATACTAATGCCTTAATATAAAAATAAATATATAAAAATTATATAATGATAATGATAATAATAATAAATATTACATAAATAATAAAATATTTCTCACCCAACTTCCACTTTGAATTCCCAACTTGGCCAAATCTCTTATACTAATTAGAACTCTTGATTCAGGATCCTCTCTTTCTTTTGGTATAGGTTGTATTAAAGATTCAGGAAAGGGAGATGATAAAAGTTGAGGAGCAAAATTAGATTTTCTTGAAATAGAAACCACAGTACTTAAACATTCATCATCTGAAGACGTTGTTGACGTATTAGATTCATATCCATTTCCGATATCTTGTCCATTAACTTCAAGTAAAGCCAATTGAGTATCCATAAAATCATCTTTCAAATTCAAAATATTTTTTTCCTCCAACAAATCTTCAAAATCAAATTCAATGTTATGGTTAATATCAATTTCTTCTTCTTCATAATCATAACCCAAAGCTTCTTGTGATAAATCAGTTATAATAAAATTCGTATGGGTTCCAATAGTTCCTTGTAAAACAGGATTGCACATTAATGCTTTGAATTTAATTAAAACTTCAGAATCAGAAACTGATCGAAGATGATAAATTTGCGATTGTCTAACGACTATAAGCAATGATGAATCAAAATAAATTGATATTGCGGAAGGATCTTTTCTTTGATGAAAATATCGTCCGATAAAATTATAATATAGAAATGTTAACTAAAAATATTTAATAAATCAAACCAATTTTATGAATTTAATGAGAAAACCCAAACCTCTTATTAAACTTTCATACGATTCGGTATTCAAAGCACCAATAATAACTTCTTCCAATTCAATCGGAACAATCATCCTAACTTCTACTTCGATTTCATCTCGCAAATTATTTTGTTTTACGAAATCTTCTGATACATAAATAACATGATCCTGAAGAAATAATAATCTACTTAGTTTTCTGTTAATGAAAATTAATTATGAATAATTTCTTACCTCGGGTGTTTCTTCAAATTTATCAGGATATTGTAATCTAGCGTATGTAATTATTGAAGAAACCAATGGCTTTTGTTTTTGTTTTCTAAGTGGATTTTTCAAATTAAGGCCCAAAGGTGTAATAGAAATACAAATATGAGACTTAAGAGTCGCTCTTATAGCTGTTAAATATAAATTATTTATCTATCAAAATGTTACACATAAAAACCAATATAAAACAATTATAGGAATGAATACCTTCAGACTCGTTTTTTGCGAATTCTTTAATTAATTCGTTCCATAATTTTTCACAAAGCCCGATACAAAAATCTTTACTAGAATTATGCAAGGTATCATTAATTTGTATTTTAACGTTTCGAGCTATATTTTCTGAAGACATAGTAAAATTTGAGCTGATTTTCCGGTTTTCTGATTGACTTATTTATTTATTTATTTTGCATTATAATCTGAATTTGGTTAGATTATTGTAACGTATAGCTTTATATTAATATTTTGCAAATTACCATTTATAACTATTAAATTATATTATATAATATTAACTTTTATTATGTTTTACAGTTTTTTTTAAATTAATATTCATTAGATAATTTTTATTATTTAAAGTATTTTAATTTTTTAAATTTTTTTTATATATAAATTAATGGAAGCTTTGTAGTAGAAAGAAAGTGAGGAAACTCTAAAAAAAATCTTTTTTAAGATAATGTTAAATCTGAACTTATTTAACTAAAAAAATCATATTTAGCTTATAAAATAAAATTTTAATTTTTCTTCCTTTTACTGTAAAGCTTCCATATTATAAATTTTAATATTTTTTTTTATAAGAAAAAAAAATAATTATTCAAACTTTTTATATATTTTTTTTATTATTTATTATATGAAAAGATTACTAGAAAAATAAGATTTTGAAAATTTTTTTTAAAAATTAAAATCTTTGATACATATTAATCTATAACTTATAAACTTTAATTAATTAAAATTTTATAATATATTAGCTTATTTTTTTTTTTTTTAAGATACAATAAAGCTATACAGTAGTATTGCAAGTATTTAATAAGTATGATATGTCTAATTATAGATAGAATAATCCTATAATAACACATATAAAAGTAAAAAAACAAATTTTATAGATGTAATAATTGTAGTAACTCTAAATATAATTACACTTCAGTAATTTATCTATTATAATAAATATTATTAGTATTAATTTTTCAAAAAGATGTTTATTTAAGTATTCAAATAAATTACAATATAAATTTTAAAAGAGTACTTATATTTTAAAAATAAATTTATTTACAATAAATAAATTAAGTTAATAAAAGATAAAATAATAAAATAATAAAAAAAGAAAACAAAAAGAAAATATGATAGACTAGTTGCCTTTAAAACTACTAAAACTAATTTATGAATTTCATATATTTATATAGTTTTAAAATTATATATTTATATATAAAATACATATTATTAACATGTGATTTTTGCAAACCACAATATTAGACAAAGCATTTGAGTGGTTGCATTTATTGGTAGCTTACTGAGTTCATTAAAATAATTGTAATAATATGTATATTTTTTTTAAGTAAAAGAATACTTTATAAATCATAAATTATGTAGTAATAAATTATTATATTTTCAATATTACACATATAAAACAAGTTTATTAAAGATAAGATATGTATAAGAATAATAAAAATAAAGGATAATGAAAAGATAAATAAGCATATTAGCATTGGCTTAGAGAAAATCTATCTTCCTATCATTTCAACATTTACAAATCATCATATTTATAAAATACAATATATAGAAAAATATAACTAATATATCAGATATATCTAATCTGTCTAATATGTCTAATTTATCAATCATGTTAGATATATCATATATATCAGATATGTTGAAAATGTCAAAAATGGCAAAAATGTTAGATATATCAAATTTATAAGTTATGTAATATTTTGTAATATTTGTTTAATATTTCTAATGTTATATGTATAAATCATTTGCAAATCATTCAGTAGATCAATTCAGTAAATTATTTTTATAAATCTTCTATTAAATCTGTTGTATCCCAAATACGTTAATGTCTGAAATGTGTATTTCAAATATCCCAAATCAGAATGCGCATTTAAAATATCCCAAATGCAAAGATCATTTCAGATATACATTTGCCCAAATACGCATTTATCCCAAATAATCACTTGGGATATCCTAAATGCTCATTTCGAATATCCCAAATGACCACTTTAGAAATTATCCTAAATGTTCACTTCAGATAATATTCCAAATGTTTATTTCAGATATTCCAAATAATCACTTTGGATAATATCCCAAATGCTCACTTCAGATAATACCAAATGCTCATTTGGGATATCCCAAATGATCACTTCAGATAATATCCTAAATGCTCATTTCAGATATCCTAAATGATCACTTTAGACAATTTCCCAAATACTTATTTTGAATATTCCAAATGATCACTTCAGACAATATTCCAAATGACCACTTCAGATAATTTTCCAAATGCTCACTTCAGATATCCCAAATGACCACTTCAAATAATATCCCAAATGATCACTTCAGATAATATTCTAAGTGATTCATAAATGATTTGCTTATTTATTAATGTTTAACTTTTATTTATAACTTGTATCAAATAAATTAAATTAATAAATTTAAAAATTTTAAAATAATATATTTATATTATAAAATATTTTCTTTATTCAAATTGTAAATAAAAGTAATGA